AAAGATGAGCGTGTACGACATTTAAAATTGCTGTTATCTTGACATTTCTCTTCTTTCTTTTCTTATTCAGAGTTCATTGCCACGATACATAATAATTAAAATAAAGATTTAACTAATAAATATTATTATTTAGCAGGTAGATGCAACAAAAAAAAAAAAATTTACATTGTGAATTTTAAATGCAATTTAAGATTTACTCATTTTGGAAGTATATTTTAATTAATTTATGGGTATTATCTAATTAATAAATATATTAATTTATTTAAAAAATATAAATTTAGTTCTATATGAATTTTTAAAATTTTCATCAATTCAATTATAAACTAAATATTTTTTATTAAAATTTTATATATTTAACTAATTATATAACACATAAATATCGAACAAGAATATAAGAAAACACATGAAAATAAGAAGTATTAATTCATTAAACTACTAATTTACTCAAACATAAAAATTAATGTTTAATCAATTTTTATAAAAAAAAAAATCAAAAGGTTATACATGCATGGTATAACGTCCTTAGCTCAACTTACATTTTGGTGGATAAGATTTTAAATTTGCTCATATTTGATTATTGTTTAAAAGCTTAAAAATTATGTAACCCATATAATCACTTAATAACAACATTTTCTATAAGTTCTGTAAAATGATTTTTATTATTGACCAAATAAATGTTAAAGTTCAAACAATTAAGAGATTTTGTGCAAAATCTTCAAAAATTTTATTAATACGTACGAAATAAACTGTCGTAATAAGATAACCATTATTAGGTCTAAATCGAAAAATCAGACTGACCCAGTAAATCCGATCAGAAATAGATCAGTTTGAATAATATTTAATCTGATATTCAATCTAAAAATTTTTGGATTAAAAAGTTTTCTGATCCGAACAGAGTAAACTTTTTTTAATATTAAAAGTTAAAACAATAAACATATAAATAATACATATATATTATATACATTATATAAATAAAATACTAAAGTATTAAACATAACATCTAAAATTAAAATATTAATATATAAATAACATGATTTAAAATTAAATTTTTTGAACAAATTTTAGTCCGTTTCAAACCAAAGCCGAAACGAACCAAAAAGTTTTGATCCAATACGGTTCAGACTGAAGTTACATCAATCGATCTTCGGCCCAAATTTTTTTCCCTAAATTCTTCACCTTACATATAATCTAACAACTTAATGTATGTACTTGTTATCTAAACACATTCAATAGTTCCACTATTTACAAGGAACACCACTCATTTATAACTAGAAGTAGTTGTAATATTGCTAATCTTCTTTTGGGTTTATCTATTGTATATATAGGCTTAATGTTGTTCTATTTTTGACCAAGCGTTTTTTCATAGAAACCAAACAATGATCTATATAGAAAAGCAAAGGCTTTGATCTTTCATTTCCTGGTAACATACAATCATGGGTCAAACTTCATCTACTCCGGGGCAGAAACACAAATTAAGGCAGTAATCGAAGGGTTTCCGCTTAATCCCACCCTCGTCTTCCTACTAATCATATGGAGAACAGGAACGAGGTACGTGCTTAGTTAGAAACTAAACTCACAAAATCATTATTCATTACCACAAGTTTTCCCCTAAATTGATAGATTTTTAGAAAATAATTTTCTTAAAAAGTATGAAACAAATTTTTTTTTTTTTGTTATTTTTAAACACTATAATCATATTCACTATCGTTTTTTAAAATATCTATCATCATTTTATATTATTTTATATATTTTATGTATAACGATAAAGAATTTAAAAAATAAAAATTCGGGGTCATTTGAATCTATTAAACATTTCTTCTTTGCGTCTCACTTGTGAAAGCAGCAAGAACGAACAATTTAGGTTTAACAATAAAAACAATTATAGTGAAAACGAAAAAGATTTAAAAACTTCAAAATATATTTTTTTTTTTTGTTATTTAGCAGACTATTTTGTTTATACTTACTAATTTGAAAATATACAATTCTTACATCTTTATGAACAAACATATATATAAATACATGAGTTTAGAAAATGAAACTAAAAAATGTTTTCATGTAGAAATGGAGCACTTTATTCCACATAATGAATAGCTAAAGAAGACAGACTTTTTCTAAAGAAGTCTATATTTCCTCAAGCACCAAAAGGAATACGTATACAAAAGTATTTACATCTCAACCAAAGTAACAATATATAGTTTTCAATTTTTAAGTTTATTTCGGGTATTTTGAATTGTAATTTAGTTTTAAGCATTTCTTTTGAGTCATTCAAGGCTAAGAACAAAATGCACAGAGGTGATTTATTTGAACAGGCATGTTTCGTGTTTACCTTCTACTGAAGTAACTTCTCTTGTTTTGGTGTAACCAGGGCTCTAATCAGTATCCTCTCCACATTATGGTTGTGAGCTAGAACTGGGTTTTGCCAAGTCAAGTAAATTCTTTTATATATCGGTGGATTCTATATCTATGAACTTTGTACTGGTCAATGTGCGTTGACCAAGGGGGATATTGACCAATACAAAGCTCGGAATCCACCGCCACTATCAAAAGAAACTAAAGCATTCCTTTGTTTCTTTGATGTGATTGTTTCGAAGATTAAACATCATGTTTATAATCACAATATTGAATGCACTGCACTTTAGTAGCTAACTGACTAATTTCTCTTATAATTGCATTCGCATTAGTTGTTAATTCTACGAACCTAACTGAAGGAACTAGTTTGACTAATGTAGTCTAAAATACTGCAGAAGAATGATTGGACTCCAGTTCCACAATTTGGAGGATGGGATCAGAATGCCCAGGGAGGCGGAGGACCCACTAATTACTCCATGGTGTTTTCTCAAGCTCGTGCTAACCGGAAGCTGCAGAAAAGCAATATCAAGCACACCAGCCTCGGTAACGAACAAGAGCTAATGCCTACATCTCAAGAACAAGATGGTCCCGTCATGGTAAGACTTCATTTTCCTGAAAGCCTTATTCATGACATGCTCTTTTAATTGTTAAAGCTACAAAACTCATTTCTGTTTGCATAGACATCATGCTTTTCTCTTTTATTTCACCTGGTAATGGTCCATATCCCCTTGTCAACGCACATGGATCATTACACGGTGAACTATGAACACAAAGAACTCTACTATACTATCTGAAAATTGAATTAATAGAGGGTTTAGTTAGAATCCAGGAATGAGTATGATCAACAAAAGAATGGCAAGAAAATACAGCATCCTTCTTTCTCATCCTTCTAAATTTATTCCATGCAGAAGAAAAAGAAGCTCTTCACCTTCATGAATTGCTGTATTAGGCCTTGATCCCAAAGAAACCAAGCCATTCTTCAGATCTACTGTCAGTTTTATGCTATTAGACAGAATTATTATATCTGCCTTGTATGCTTATAAATGAAATATGTTGTCCATCAATGTAAAATCCAACAGTAATTTTCTATAATCTTGTTGTGTACTATATGTATAATTTTGGGTATCTATGACCGTTCCCATCACCTATCAAGTCTTAGACATTAAGGTAAGCAACACAAATTTAGGTAATAACTTCTTAGTAATAGAAATATAAGAAAATTTATCAGCTTTACATCCAAAGAAATATTATATAAAGTATAAAGTGGTGACTGTCACTATGATCTCGCTAATTTAGGTAGATACCTGTAATTTAAGCAGACATGGGACGTTTTACTGGAGCTTTAAGAGAGGATAGATAGTTGGCATCTGCTTTGTCAATTCCATTGAAAAGATAACTGAAAGGAGGCATTTTTATGTACTTGCCAGAACCTGGAACAACATTTAGCTCATTGTTTTGCCAGACAATTCTTCCACCAGCTATGGTCACTTCAACCTTTCCCTGAGAGAAGCAACAGAAATCAAATCTAATTTTAACTCGATAAGGGTTGAGGAAAGCATTATGAATAGATATCATGCATAGACATATGGAGGAAAAGATGGGAAGGGAAATAAATATCTTTGAAAAGGTTGTGGAGGAAATTTTCAACATACAACTAATTAACTAGGGAGATCTTCTAGTGTTCAGGAAGTAGAGAAGAAAACTTTAGGAAGAACGCTCTTATGCTTAAGAGGACTGAACCTCAAATAAGTATCTTAAATGGTATGTATAATTAAAATTGAAGACATACAACTTAGCTATTGCTTAATCCGAAAATTGGTTTGTCCTTTTGATCCTAAAGCCATCAGTTTTCTGCCACTTCCGAGCTCTTTCTTCCAACTTGCCTCAACTTAAAGACAAATTACTTCAGAGAGATAAGACATCAAAGATTTCCTTACCAGTCTATTCCCGTTCACCTCAATCTCTCAAATGCTTCCTTTTAGTTTTAAACCATTCTTCCTCTTACTGCCTCATCAGACATTGTATCTTTTGAACCCAGTATTCTGACATCCTTGTTTTCCAGATATCCCAATCTCAGTCTATTAAGCATGTTGTTTCACAGAAATTTCCCTTTAATACAATATAACAATCATCCCAAAACCTTCATCTCCTCTAAATTTATTACTATGCAATCTATTACCAAGTCAAACAGATAAAAGCAATATAGAACAGACTGCCTGGTACTTCTGAAAGCCAGTGTACATGTAATTTTTGATACAAGCCTATGATTCAAGCTATCCAATAAATATTGCCTTCCTCTTGAATACCCACAAGCAATGTGTACATGAATGCTTTTTTAATAGAAAAGTAAAAGTACTATCCATGTCACAGCAGAAAGAGTAGTAGACGTGCAGAAGAGTGTAGCATACACGTAATTACAAGAGAAGACCTTAGAACTGTCCTCTGCTCATCACATTGGCGAAACCCTGACAATTCTGTCAGAATAGAGTTAAAATTAGTTACCCCTATCCTTTGAGAAAAGGTGATTACCCCTATCAGAAGTCTTCTTGTTCTTCTCTCTCCAAAGCATCCACAAAGTTGACATGTAGGATAATCAAAATAGCACTTTTTTTCTCCTCGTTCACAACAAGGTCATTCCAAGATCAGAATCTACAAACCACCGCCTATGTGATTCTGTCACAGCCATGGTTATTTCCCAAAGACTCCTTCACTTACACCACAACAAGAAGTCCCCATGTAGGGGTTACCAATCCAGAAAGAAAGCAAATCTTAGATTCAAGATTATCTCGAGTTACTATCATTTTTTTCTCTCTCTTCTTCTTTTGATCTCTTGTCCCCTTTTATTCTCGTTCATTTTTCTTCTATGTCCTCTTTTTCCTATCTTTCCTCCCTCAATTCTCCTTCTGCCCCTGTATCCTATATCATGCGGTTCCAGAGTAACTTACATTCCTCACTCTTTTATTGGAAAACCACATATTCAAAAAAAGAAAAAAAAAAAGAAAACCCTTAAGTCAACCCACCAACTACACCGTAGAGGCTAATCAGCTAGCCATTTGACAGTCAAATTAGATACTCACAAGAAATCAACAGACATCCAGGATCTTTATTCCGCCTTCCCTACTCTAAATAGCTCTTTTTGTTTTTTGTTCACAATAATACAATTATTGTAGTCCTTCAGCCACCTCCAGTTTTATTGCCATCATAACCAAGGCTGTCCCCAGAGACTCCTTATTCAATGACACCTTCACAAGAGAGGTGCCTTGCATACTTCTCAGCAACTTTGTGTAAAAGACACCTGTACAAGAAGACCTTTCCTCTCCCTTCAGATTGCCAAGGGTGAGAATTCACCCATGTTGCTCCCAGTCATAAAGACCTTTCAAGGGTGGGTGACACCAGCTGTAAAGGACTAGCTCTTACAAATAAAACTTTTTTACAAAAAAAATAACAGATTAAAATAAAACTTAAGAGAGTGAGAATATAATTTGGCAGTTTCGCTACTTGATCCTACAAAGATCTCACAGATAAACCTTTGAGAATTTATTACTATGAAGAACTAGCTCTTTCAAAAAATTTATTAAATAAAAGGAAGAAAAAATTCAAAATTACAAGAAAGCCCCATAATAAGAAATTTCCCGGCACTAAAATAGTGTATCAACTGTAGAGAATGCACTCCCATCAAACCCACAATGAGTCACCAAGATAAAATGAGATAATCACCAACTGGAGGGGATTTGTGCGACACTTTATCAGGGCCATTCATTAACAATAATCTCTCTTAATATGAGCCACAACTAAACATTCCCACCTTGGAAAATGTCCTCTCCTTTTCAATGAAACTGAAACTCTAGGGATATATATCTCCGCCTTCAGGTGCTGCACTAAAACTATTCAACAGCTAAGAACATCCAGCAATTCCAAACAATGATCAAACTTCTCCATCTGTAGTACTTTTGCCAATATATCTGTTGCATTATCATCTGTCCTCATTTTCAACAACAAGATCTCACCTAAAGATATCAACTATATAATTTTATGAAACCTCACATGTGCTTGTTTGATATTAGCATGATAAACCAGATTCTTTCCCAAAAGCTTGTTCTTTGAATACACTATAAAATTCAAAAGTATTTTATGTCAACCCCATCTTAGAAACCAAACTTCAACTATAAAGCTCTTTGGGCTGCCTACTTTATTGCCATATAATTTCTGCTTCTGTTGGACATATAAAGGAATTGTCCCATAATCTTGACCACTGACCTATAGTGGCACTTGCTAACAAGCACATATCATATGGCTATAGTGGATTCACTAGCATAATCTACATTTTCATATCCCATAACAGAATCTGTATCATTAGTGCCAAAACAAGTGTCATTCAAGTGTACATTTCAAATATGAAATAACCTATTTGGCAGTTCGATTAACAATGAAGTTGCTTAAGAACCAATTGCTTGCTCTAAGTCAAGCCTGGTACGCAACATTAAATTCATCAAACACCCTACCATAAGGAACCTTTGACATCAACTCCACCTTTTCATTTGTTTCAAGTCAGAAAGTTGGACAACTTGAAGTGATTTGCCACCTGGGGGGAGAGACCAATTCGGCATCATCTCAAACCTCTCCACCACCTTCTCAATGTACCTTCTCTATGAAGCCAAAGTTTCTCATTCTTCCTATCTCTGCCGTTTCAATCTTAAGAATTTTCTTTGCAGCTTCAAGGTCTTTCATATTATTTGCCAATAAAGAATCAAATAGCATAAATCACTCATATACTTGGCAGCAATCAGCACATTGTGAACAATTCCCGTTATTTGATAAAATACACACAACAATCATACTCAAAATAGATGTCATCGTATATGAATCTAAGCACGTTTACCATTTCCTAGGAGATTTCTTCAATCCATAAAATGATTTCTTGACCTCACGACCTCAATTTCCACCCTTTCATTGCTCCATGTAAATATGCTCTTTCAATTCACCAGAAATTTGACTAATTTTCGCTAATACATTCCTAAAAAAGAAAAAAGAAATTTTAAGGAGTGTACCGAATCTAGCGATCAAAATGTCCAACCACCCCTAAACTATATCTAATCATATTTGTTTGACTTTCCCAACTCTAATTTTCACCTCACTAAGGCTACATTTACTTTCAAACAATCTAATAGTTGTCGTACATTAGAGTCATATTAGCATATTAATACAGATGAATAGTACTGTCACTCAGCATGGCAAGATACCTATTATTAATGAACTTAACATGGAAATAGTGTAAATAATTCATACTTACTCTTCACATGCAACTAAATTCTTCTACTTCTGAATAGTTACTTGAAATGAACTCCAAATTACCATGGCTAAGACAATGTCAACATGATGGGTTAATATGGAAAGAACTACGAAAATTCATTAAAAGAAAAGCTAGGTTGCTATGTTTTTCTATGATCAATAATTTGGCACTGGAATAAAAACGTAATTTGAATGAAAGTAAAAGGAGGCTTCTCATATCAAAATTACAGCTAAAATATTTGAGTTATTATAGAACGCATGCTAAATTGTAATGAAAATTTACCTTGCCTCTTCTACCGTCATAGACATTGGTATCTGTTCTAGAGTGGTGGGACATTGCACTTATTTCAAAGCTTGAATTCGGATTCAGGATAATTATGTCCGCATCAGACCCAGCAAGAATTGCTCCTTTCCTTGGATATATATTGAAGATCTTAGCACTGAAAATATTTAGAAGCTAAAATCAATACTTGAAGAGTTCACATAGCTACAGAAAAGAAAAAAAAAACGCGAGAAATTCACTGATAAAACAAAACAAACTTAGTGTCTAAAGAATCATTATCATGGTGAAGACATACCATTCAGTACTTGTTATACGAACATAGTCAGTGACAGAAATTTGGCCAGATTCCTGGAAAGTGTTATCAGTTCACAATACAAACCATTCAAAGAACAGTGATTCTAAATGTAGTAGCCTTTTAGAGTATTCAACTGAAGACCACAGAAGCCTACCACCATTGTATCCCAAACCAGGTGCATCCTTTCCTCGATTCCTAATTCCATCGTTGCATGGACAAGAAATATAAGAATGTGAAATTGATAAAATTGGACATGTAATTACACAGGGAATATACATTGAAACACGAAGGATCATTTTTTCGAATTACCATTGACACCATTGGGGATTCTCCGGAAATCATCAACCCCAAGAGACTTTTGTGTGGAATTAAAGGCACAATGATCAGTTCCCACAAGCTGCAGAGTGCAGAAATATCAAGAGGGCCACATTAAAAAACATTTAAGATCTTTCCGGTTAGACAACCCTTTTGAACACTACTGAAAATAAAAAAGCTTCTGCAATTGTTTCGTAGGAAATTAAC